TCCGATTTCAAACATTGAGTCAAAAAAATGAACGAAATTACTTCTGTAAAAAAATAAAATTTGTCCTAAATCCCAATTACTCGTTTAGGACAAATAGTTTCATCTTAGGACATGACTGGCAAATATGACCGTTTCCGGACTCTTGGTTCCTCAGGTGGCATATTAACAATTTAAAAAAAAATTGCAAATTTCATTTATTTTTCATCAATAAGTGACATAATCTTTTTCAAAAATGAAAAATTTATAGAAATATGAAACAATAATTATAGTATAATGTATTATCATTGAAAATTAATAAATGTTTTATGAGCTGAGTATCATATTGTGAAAACAAAATTTAAGCTTTATGAAGTACAATTGTGGGATAATTAGTAGTAAAAGGCTGTACGGTGACATAATAGTTGTGAACTTCTATGTCGTCTCTGGTGGAGAGTTGTCTCATTGGCAATCATACCACATCATAGCTGTACGGTGACATAATAGTTGTGAACTTCTATGTCGTCTCTGGTGGAGAGTTGTCTCATTGGCAATCATACCACATCAAGGCTGTACGGTGACATAATAGTTGTGAACTTCTATGTCGTCTCTAGTGGAGAGTTGTCTCATTGGCAATCATAGCACATCAAGGCTGTACTGTACCTATAGTTGTAAACTTCTATGTCGTCTCTGGTGGAGAGTTGTCTCATTGGCAATCATAACACATCAAGGCTGTACGGTACCTATAGTTGTAAACTTCTATGTCCTCTCTGGTGGAGAGTTGTCTCATTGGCAATCATAGCACATCAAGGCTGTACGGTACCTATAGTTGTAAACTTCTATGTGTGTCTGGTGGAGATTTGTCTCATTGGCAATCATACCACATCAAGGCTGTACAGTGACATAATAGTTGTGAACTTCTATGTCGTCTCTGGTGGAGAGTTGTCTCATTGGCAATCATACCACATCAAGGCTGTACAGTGACATAATAGTTGTGAACTTCTATGTCATCCATAATGGAGAGTTGTCTCATTGGCAATCATACCACATCAAGGCTGTACAGTGACATAATAGTTGTGAACTTCTATGTCGTCTCTGGTGGAGAGTTGTCTCATTGGCAATCATACCACATCAAGGCTGTACGGTGACCTGTAGTTGTAAACTTCTATGTCGTCTCTGTTGGAGAGTTGTCTCATTGGCAATCATACCACATCAAGGCTATACAGTGACATAATAGTTGTGAACTTCTATGTCGTCTCTGGTGGGTCTGAGTTGTCTCATTGGCAATCATACCACATCAAGGCTGTACGGTGACCTATAGTTGTAAACTTCTATGTCGTCTCTGTTGGAGCGTTGTCTCATTGGCAATCATACCACATCAAGGCTATACGGTGACATAATAGTTGTGAACTTCTATGTCGTCTCTGTTGGAGAGTTGTCTCATTGGCAATCATACCACATCAAGGCTGTACGGTGACCTATAGTTGTAAACTTCTATGTCGTCTCTGTTGGAGAGTTGTCTCATTGGCAATCATACCACATCAAGGCTATACGGTGACCTATAGTTGTAAACTTCTATATCTTCTCTGGTGGAGAGTTGTCTTATTGACAATCATACCACATCAAGGCTGTATGGTGACCCATAGTTGTAAACTTCTATGTCGTCTCTGGTGGAGAGGTGTTGAGTTGTCTCAATGGCAATCATACCACATCAAGGCTGTACAGTGACCTATAGTTGTAAACTTCTATGTCGTCTCTGGTGGAGAGTTGTCTCGTTGACAATCATACCACATCAAGGCTGTATGGTGACCAATAGTTGTAAACTTCTATATCGTCTCTGATGAAGAGTTGTCTCATTGGCAATCATACCACATCAAGGCTCTATGGTGACCTATAGTAGTAAACTTCTATGTCGTCTCTGTTGGAGAGTTGTCTCATTGGCAATCATACCACATCAAGGCTGTATTGTGACCCATAGTTGTAAACTTCTATGTCGTCTCTGGTGAAGAGTTGTCTTATTGGCAATCATACCACATCAAGGCTGTATGGTGACATAATAGTTGTTAACTTTTATGTCGTCTCTGGTGGAGAGGTGAGAGTTGTCTCATTGGCAATCATACCACATCAAGGCTGTACAGTGACCTATAGTTGTAAACTTCTATGTCATCTCTGGTGGAGAGTTGTCTCATTTGCAATCATACCACATCAAGACCGTATGGTGACCTATAGTTGTAAACTTTTATGTCGTCTCTGGTGGAGAGTTGTTTCATTGGCAATCATACCACATCAAGGCTGTATGGTGACATAATAGTTGTAAACTTCTATGTCGTCTCTGGTGGAGAGACTTGTCTCATTGGCAGTCATACCACATCAAGGCCGTCTGGTGACCTATAGTTGTAAACTTCTATGCTGTCTCTGGCGGAGAGTTGTCTCATTAGCAATCATACCACATCCTCTTATTTTTACACTTTCATATATCACTAAACATTGTCTGTTGAAGTTTACTGTTAGATTCAAAATGTCAATAACCAATATATATTATTTCGAGGATCTGTATACATATTTATAATAATTTGTGCATTTTGAAAAAATATGTTTACAGTGTATTGGAAATAAAACATAATGAATTTTAAAAAAAATTTTAAAAGATCACAGAACATCTTCTTAAAACTTGATGCAAATAAGATATTATGTTACAAACAATATCCTTGTAAAAAAAATGAATGAATATATAACTGTGTTAAGCATATAATCCCTCTAATATTTTTAAGTTAAAACTTTGTTATTACATACATATATATGGTGTTATTGGTATATATATTGTTAAACATGTTAAATACTATGTTATACTGTGTTTCTAGTTTATTTACAGCTAAATGTTTTGTTTATACTGTGTTTTTCGTTTATTGTATTTGATGTCATAAAATATGCATTGAATTCACCACAATAGAATTTAGATTTACTGCAGGTATTGTCTTTGTTCAATGATTTTGTTAAATTATCTTAAGTTTTTGTGACATCATTGTGGATAAGTGGGTGTTCTTATGTCTTACAGTATAATGTGACTGATGTATATGTTTTACACTTAGTTTTTCTTCGTATTTTAGTGTATTGTGTATTAGATCAAAGAAGTTGTCAATAGATTTGTCCTTAAGAATAATGGACTTTATTTTGATTGCTTATAATTCGACAAATGTGTTATATTTCTTATTGCATTGAATAAATGCAGAGCAAGCAATAGTATTAAAACATGCAAATCATCGTTTAAACTGTCTGAGAATTATTTGTTGTTGTTGGAATCAATCAAAGATTTGGTGGTTCCAGATGGCTATCTTGCTTCTTTTTTCAATTTCAACATTCTGTTCATTTTAATAACTCACTTCAGACATGGTGATCACATGCACTGAACCCATCTCTCTGAAGGATACAGTTGAAGCTTTGTGAATTTTCTATTGCATGTCTGTCTGATTGTTTGTCTGTCAGTCAATCCAAAACAAACAGAGGAATAACCTTAAAGTTTGCTTTGAAGTACGACATTTGAACTCAGCAAAATTACTTATGTAATCATTTACATACGTCAGGTCAACTTTGCTGGAATTACCTTATCAGATTTATGCCACTTTAATTTTCTTTAATGTTTCTAGATTATTAATATAACATATTAGTATTCTGTGAGCCATGGTCTTATTAAGCATTAACCATTTTTGCATTTTTAATATTAATACATTTCTTCTCAGAAAACATGGATCAAATAATGCTTGCTATCCCTGCTTCTCTGAAACTACAAGTCCAATTGGACTCAAAACTGGCAGCCAACAGTGTATAAATGTAATCTTAGACTATCTAAGTTCAGAAAATTATCCCCCAAAGAATTTTCTATGAGGGAAAGCAAATTTTTCAGTTTTTGGTACTCGGTAGTTTTGTATAACTAAGGGTTAATATTAATACTGTCCTGAGTATTCAGTTTTTATCATGTTTGTTTAAATGAAAATGCTTTTAAGAAACCAAAGTATACAATTATGATAATTATATGAGGTTGAAGTGTCCAGATTATTGTATATTGATGATATAATTGTAAAACTCTATAACTAAAACCTCCAACTTAAAATTTCCCTTCCATTACTGTCAGACTTCAAGGCTACATGAGATTTTAGTTAGAAGAACTAATGTGGTGATGGAGCTGAAAATTAATTTAAATCGGTATTAGAAGTGTTTTAATTTGAAGTACAACATACATGATGTTACTCATTCCACTTTTTAAAATTTTGTTTGGTTGCATTAATTGGATATGGATTTTTTTCAATAGAGTAATGAAATATAAAGCAGAAAATGTACATAGGAATAATTGATAGTTACATATGGAATAATTGATGATACATTTTTGTGTTAATCCTATTGATTTTGTTATAGGAGAAACACAGAGATATGGGTTATTTTACTGCTTATTGCTCACTTTTTTTCTGATTTCTGGGTAATGATTTTAATATGATGATTGATTTGAGATTTTACTTGTTTCAGTATTTTATTGTTGTCCACATTTATTGCTGTTATACAAGTGAAATATTGAACTAGACTTAACAATGGTAATGATTAGCCAACAGGGTTGTGATGGCAACAGGAGGCCCACTTTGTGTCCTTAATTAGGAGACAGGAAGTCTACAAGTGTCGTTTGCAACTTAGTTAGTTAGTTAGGGAACAGGAGGCCCCCTAGTGATGTTTGTACCTTGTTTAGGAACAGAAGGCCTACTACTAGTGTTTTGTAACTTTGTTGGGGAACTATTGTGCACTATGCCCAATAGTGTTGTTTAGTAACTGAGTTAGGAAACAGGAGGCCCACTAGTGTCTTTTGTAACTGAATTAAGTCCAGAAGTGGAGAGTCTAAGACAGACTTATTTTCATACTTGCCATTTATTTATTTAGATTTAGCTATCCGTATGAAGATCATTTAACATCTAGTATCAATGAAGAAAGAAATTGTTAATAAGTAATTAGCATGATAAGATGATTCCTATTATATTTTTCAGATGATCATGTGATTTACAGATTCAATGAAGATGGACTATCCATCGCCTTGTAACCATCATGTCAGAGTTCCAAGTAAGTTTTCTCCCTTTACAAAGAGTTATCTCCACTTTGTAACAGAGTTAGAAGTCATTTTGTGTCAATCTCCCATTCTTAACCTGTTTAAGTTAATAAGAGTTTCCTTGTGTATGTCAATATCATGATGATGTTGACCTAATTATTAGTTTTAAATAATGTATAGCCAATATTACATTACATAGTGTCATTATGATTAAATCAGCTTAAATGTAAATAATATTCATAAACAGCATTTCTAATTTATCAGTTTACTGAAAAAGCAATACAAAAAATAGCATATCAATAAGTGTACATTTGATTTAGTAAATCAGTTTTATGATGTAGTTCAAAATCTATTACATTTCTCTTTTCGCCAAAATTATAACCCTCAAACTTTTTAATCCCTCAATATATTTTTAAATTTGTAGACTTCAACACTCAAATAAATACTGATATCATATTTTGTGAGCAAGACTTAGCATAGAGACGGAATGAAGATATGTTTCAAAATTTAGACTTTTAACAGTGAAATAACTCCTCAGATATCATATTTTATAAGCAAAACTCAGCATAGAGACAGAATAACGATTCATTTGAATAAGAGATCAATTGATCACTATGAAATATGTATCTTTCCATCCCTGGGTTTAAATGGCTGTCAGTTTGACAAGTCTGGTTATCGTTGTAATTCACCTAGGTTTAATAACCAATTCCCATTTCTTTTTTCCGGTCATTAACAAGTATCAAAGTATTGGAATATATAAAGATATTATTGACAGAAACATCAGACGTACATTACACTGCCAGTTAATCAATGGTGAATACTTTATAAAGTGTCGACCACTCTCACTTCTATCACCAGTACTCAAATTATGTTTTCAAATATTTCTTTGACTTTGACTCTTGTTTATATGAAGCTTTCATAGACCCTGTTCACACTAGCATTTTTTTAATTGATCTAAATAAAACCAGTAAGCGTTCACATTATCTTTTATCCTAACAATCTCTATCGGTCTAATCCAGTGATTGGGAAGGATTTTTTGACCATGGGACTATGGCTCCAATGTTCTTCAGTTCATGGGGTCATTTGAAATAACAGGTGGCCATTGACAAACTCTAATGGACCATTTCAGAAATAATTTTATAAGTATTGAGGCCAATTGATTTTTTTTTGTTGTTCTCATCATCTCATTTTTTAAATTCTATGTACTAAAATACTTATGTTCATGTAAATTATATTCAATATAATTATCATTACATTGATGAAATTTTTAATTTCATTAGACAGATTTTACAAAGTTTTTTTTTTAATCAGTCTTTGCTTTGTCTGTTTCCACACTTTCAGGGTCTGTACCAATACTAGGTTGAGGTTCGGTATTATTTGTGTTTTTTTTATATATATAAAGGTAAGAGTCTTTTGACCTGCTGGCAGTAACTTAATTCGTTTTTTTGGAGGCATTTTAGATTTTAAATTTTCGTTCCTTCGTCTAAATACCATGTATAAAGTTATGAAAGCAATAAGACAAGGTTAAGTGGGATTAGAGACCAAAATTTAATAATTAGACTGTTTAGAAAAATAAGGACAATTATCAAAAATGTTTTGAATGACTGTAATATAAAAATAAAAGTGTTCAAGATTTATTTTAAAACATTTTATCATCGAGATATCCGTATATTATCGATCAGCGGAACAAAAATATTTCGGTTATTAGATACACCAGTCACATTGTTGGGGTATCAATTAATCAACCCCAAATGCGGGATATTGAAAAGATCGAATTTGCTCACTAAAAAGACAGAAATTTACAAAAACTACAGCAGGGACAAATTAATTATGACTTAAAATCAATGAATTTTCATATGATATTAGCTATACGGGCGATTTCATGCATTAAATAAGGAGACCAAATGAATTGTTGCGACTTATATTTGAAATCGATTCTTGGAACAGCATTTGAATACTCCATTTGATTGGCTGAATATTATGAGTTATATTTAGATGCTATTTTTATGCAGAGGGGAAAAACACGGATCTGAAGAGTTGTTACAATTTCAGAATTACGCCCACAGGCACTTTTCTCTGAAGAAAAAATATTTATATACCTTAATGTTATATAGGATTTTTATGCCCCTGCTGTAGTGGAGGGGGCATTATAAGGTTTACCCTTGTCCGTCTGTACGTTCGTCCCAAAATTGGTTTCCGTTCTCTAACTTTAGTTTGCCTCAACCAAATGTTATGAAACTTAAACACAATGCCTGGCCTATTACCACAAAACACAGATCAAGTTTCAATTTTGGTGGAATCACTTTTACCGTTCTACAGTTATGCCCCTTTACAAATGGAACAATTGCTGAATTTTTCGTTTCCGTTCTCTAACTTTAGCTTGCCTCAACCAAATGTTATGTAACTTATACACAATGCTTATTAACACAAAATACAGATCAAGTTTGAATATGAGTAGCGTCACTTTTACCATTCTAGAGTTATGCCCCTTTACAAATGGAGAAATTGCTGAATTTTTCGTTTCCGTTCTCTAACTTTACTTTGCCTCAAACAAATGTTATGAAACTTATATGCAAACCTTATTACCACAAAATGCAGATCAAGTTTGAATTTTGGTGGCCTCACTTTTACTGTTCTAGAATTATATATGCCCCTTTCAAAAATGGAAAAATTGCTGAATTTTTCGTTTTTGTTCTCTAAATTAAGTTTGCCTCAACCAAATGTTATGAAACTTATACACAATGCTTATTACCACAAAACTCAGATCAAGTACAAATTTGGGTAGTGTCACTTTTACTGTTTCGAGTTATGTCCCTTTATAACGTTATATGCAAGCAGGGGTATCATCTGTGTCCCATGGACACATTCCCCACTTATTTTTTTCAGAGACAAGTGCCTGTGACTACGCCGGCCATTTAATAATTAATATTATAAATTTATATGGCGCACACGGTCCAATTGCACATGGCACGTGGCCTTCCCCATCACTGCTAATCTGAACCACTGCGTTCACACTACAAGTAAAAATGCAATCCATCTGGCCTATAGCTAATTACCAGTGAAATTGTAAACACTGTGTATAAATAGAAACATTTAATCAAATTAATGTGTTGATACACACTCTTGCAAAAAACTAATGGATGAAATTATTGTTTCACTTGAATTACAAGTTCAAATTCTGATATTGCTGCTTAATTTTCAGCCCTTTTACTTTGGTCATCCAATTTGTAATAAATTGCATGTGCTGCCACCATATGCATTCATGTGCACAAATTATTTTCGATTCAATCCTACTAGTTCAGATCAATCTCTGCGTTCACATTTAAAGTTAGATTGGTTCACTTTAGATCGATTCATTAACTAAACTACCTGTTTTGGTATTTTAGTTTAGATTGATTCAAAGCATTCACATTGGGCTTAAATCAATTTTAATTGAACCGATCTAGTTTAAATCAATCTAAATGTCCCAGCGGGAACAAGGTCATAGTCCAGCAAACTTCTCAAAATCTCCATCACCATGGGGGGGATTTAAACAATAAGAGAACCTCATGCATATCTCATACATGTCGAATGTGTTTAATCTATTGGGGATTTCAAGAGTGAGGTCTGAGCGGTTCTATTTGGTTGAATCTTTTTATAAATAGATAAATGAAGCTGGTGGGAATGTTCTGTTCAAATTTTTATACGACATTTTTTGCGGTCGTATATTGGTATCATGTTGTCGTCGTCGAAGACATTTGGTTTCCAGACAATAACTTTAGTAAATGTAAATAGAAATCTATGAAATTTGAACACAAGGTTTATAACCACAAAAGGAAGGTTGGGATTGATTTTGGGGGTTATAGTCTTAACAGTTTAGGAATAAGGTGCAAAAAAGGGGCCCAAATAAGCATTTTTCTAGTTTCCAAACAATAACTTGGTGTATGGATCTCTCTGAAATTATACCACAAGTTTCCATACCACAAAGGGCTGGTTACGATTGGCTTTGGGGCGTTATGGCTCAAACCGTTTAGGAATTAGGGGCAAAAAAGGGGGAAAAACAAGGGTTTCCTGGTTATTGGACAATTAAAAAAAAGTACAATGTTTTGGGAAGGGGTCCCACGAAATCCACAGTATCACTTTCATGTAGCAACCTTTCATGTAGCAACCTTCTTATTCACTGGTTATATCTATATCTTCAGAACTCATGCAATATTAAAACCAAAACTGGCCACTGTCAACCTTAGGGTGGTTTTGTTTCAAATTTGTATTTTCATTACCTACAAATATGGCCTAGGTTAGTTAAAGTTGAACTTTAAGTGTAAAATATGGTTACTCTTATGAGGGTGGTAAAGGGTTATTTTCGTGCAACGTGTTTTGCCATTTTTATTTCACATGCAGCCGTGAAAAAGATTCGTTATTCACCATGTTTCGTGAAATCGGTAAAAAGATCAACGTGCAAGAAATTTTTAATTGTTCGTTCATTGTGAAATGGCAATTTTATTTCGTGTTCTTCCGTGCAGATGCCCCCCTCTCTTATAAGTGATACCATTATTAACAGCATGCAGAGTTTATTTTGATCGGGTAATAATAACATTATCATTAAGTTCTAACTATTAGAAGAATATCTGATTTTTACAATATTTTCAAAGATGCTTGATAGCTTTACAATTTTTAAGTGTCTCTCGATGTTTAATATCATATTAATGATGCCATAATGCCCTTTAGTACTGTTTGGAAGCATACACCAACAATCTTTAACTTGCTTAGTGTTTCTTTAAGAGAGACATCTATCTGTATTATTTCTTATAAAAAATATAGACAAAAATATATGACTATGCTGCATTAGGAAAGTGGTATAATTGATATTTCCTTTCTTTAATCAGATACCTTATAATGTCTTCCTTCTTGCCATAATTAAAGTCATGTTAGGGGTGATTGAAAACACTTCATTATAGTATTGATTCTCGATTCTTGCCAATTAAAAAAGTTTTTATATTCTACAAAACTCTCTTACTTTATGTTTAAAAAGATA